AAGGAAAGAGTTTATTATACAATGCAACTTAACTTGGAGCTCAGGCGACAATTAGTTTTCTTCCTGTCGGTCAGGTTTAGATTGTGTTATCCGTCAAGGCCGGAAGATTCTGCTTTGTTTTGATTACTTTGATTAATTAACGAAGCCTCTGATCCTAAGACATCAATATTTTATTTAAACTTGAACTTGCCCGAACCAAAGGGAACCCCAGACCGTCAACAAGTCAGATGCCCATTCCCTCGACTTCAAACCCTGATTAGACTTCAGCTGTTAAGCCCGAAAACCCCACATGTCCGAGCAACACCGAGGGCGTAGAGCACCTTCCACACTAAACACCCCAAACTTTTTCAGGAACCGTAAACCGGACAGCCTGAATTTAACATTCAAATCCAAACGATTCGCCCGATTCGGACTGCTTGACCACGTCGTCCTGCTGCTGATTCTGTCATCATGTAAGGATTATACACTTCTGGTTCCGGGGCGGAGCGGGCAGGGAATCTACAGCGTTACGGGTTTCTATCAGTGACAGCATTCCGACTACACACATTCGCAGGTTGCCAAGCCCTGGTGACAACTGGGACTTCGCCTTCGCAAGGTCCACCCAGCCTCGCTTGTATCGCGACCCTTCTCTTGTGCAAAGTCAGTGACACTCAAGACTCATGCCGTTCAGAGTGTGCATGCTCCAACGAAAAAGCAGCTTTTTCGGCTTCGATTCGCCTTCGAGCAAGCTCTCTCCCTCCATCTTCTCTCGCCTTCTTTCGCAATGGCGCCCAAGGCAGCTGGTAAGAAGACCGCGGCGGCGGCGGATGGGGCCAGCAAGAAACAGCGCCTTGCCGAGAAGAAAAGTGAGGCTGTGAGGAGGGAACAAAAACAGGTGTTGTCCAGCGACAAGGCTAACCAGGCCATCATGATGGAACAGATCGTGGAGTGGTGCGAGTCGCACCCAAGGGGATTCGAACACATCCACCGCTCGATCATGCTCGGTTCCTATGACGCCTTGGACCAGAAGAATGCCCTGACGGACGCCGATGCAGACACAAGGTTGCCGAGCTACATGAACAAGTTCCGACTCCTGACCGTCCCGGTGGCCTTGGAAATCCTCGCCTTGGTGACGCCAGCAGTTGCCTCCTTCATAGAGAAGATGCTGAAGAAGGGGCAGAAGATTTCCAAGTTCGACGTCACGGAGGTCGTCGCCTTCGTCCTCCATGTGGATCTGCGCAGCGCCTTGCCCAGCAAGCAGAAGAGCCAGCTGCTCCAGTGGTGCAAGACCAGAAGCGAGGAGTCGGACAGTCCTCTCAAGTCTTGGTCTTCGTCTTCGGAGCCGGTATGCGAGACCTGGGAGGACGGGGATGTTCTGGTCTAAATAGGTACTTAAAATACCTATATATCAGCCTTACATTAATTAATTATGTACTGGATTGTTTTTTTTGGCCGGCCTGAAGCTTCTTGCAGGACTTCGTCGCCCATCCGCTCTACAAGTACTGGAACTTTGAGCATGCCGCCGATGACGGGGACCAGTCGACGTTCGGGGTCGTGCGGTACCTGAAGACGGACATTCGCCTTCGGCTTCCGAAGGAGATCCGCGGGTTCCCGATGAAGGGCCCCCACCTCTTCTTCACGGCCTTCGTGAAGGGCTGCATCAGCATCCCCATGACCCACGTCATGGAGCACAATGGGGCCGAGGCGGGTCCTGAGAGGCCCCTCTTCTTCGAGGCGGTTCCATCAGGCTCGTCTTCGACTTCGCCTTCGAAGCCCAAGGAGGCCGAGCAGCAGCCCCCGCCGGCTACGCCGAAGAGGAAGGCTCGCTCCGACCCGAAGACTCCCGGGTCCGGGCGCTCGGGCAAGGACCCGGTGAGCCCGCCGCCTTCGTCCGGCAAGCGCAAGCGCTGAGCCGGTCGTCTTCGTGGTCCTGGTCTTCGCAAAGACAATGGCCTTCGTCTTGGATTCGCTCATGTCCTAATTCTCACCAATACTCACTGCCACGAGTCCGAGTATAATCATTATTACTTTATTAGTACCTAGTAGTACGACTAGCCGTACTAGTACTTGTAGTAGTACTGTCGTAGTAGTAGTACTAGTCCTAGTAGTAGTAGTAGTACTAGTAGTAGTACTAGTCCTAGTAGTAGTAGTAGTAGTAGTAGTAGTAGTAGTAGTAGTAGTAGTAGTAGTAGTAGTAGTAGTAGTAGTAGTAGTAGTAGTAGTAGTAGTAGTAGTAGTAGTAGTAGTAGTAGTAGTAGTAGTAGTAGTAGTAGTAGTAGTAGTAGTAGTAGTAGTAGTAGTAGTACTAGTAGTCGTTGTAGTATTAGCACTCGTACGACTAGTACTAGTAGTCCTAAAGGTAGTAGTAGTTGTAGTAGTAGTAGTAGTACTACTAGTAGTAGTAGTAGTAGTGGTAGTAGTAGTAGTAGTAGTAGTACTACTACTACTAGACTAGTGGTGATGTACTACTGCAACACGTCGTATTCGACAAAGGCCGTTGTTTTTGCAGTGACTCTCTAGCCTGATGAGAGATTGTCTGCTGGGGCCAGCCCGGACACTGAAGTCCCCGTGTCATTCGCTGTGGCCTTGGTCGTGTACTGTACACATACTCATGTTAGTCAGTCAGTAGTAGGATGCAAATCGTCCTTCGACTAAAGGCCTTGCCATCATCGAACATGGGGATGCAAGTGCATCGCTGGCGGTAGCCTAACTCACAGCTTCAGATTTTGATGAGCTCGGATGGCATGTCGCCGCTGGGGCCAGCCCGGTCACTGAATTCTCCATGTCATTCGCAGTGGCCTTGGTCGTGTACTGTATACATCCTCATCTTAGTAGTAGGGTGCAAATCGTCCTTCCACTAAAGGCCTTGCCATCATCGAACATGGGGATGCAAGTGCATCGCTGGCGGTAGCCTCACTCACAGCTTCAGATTTTCATGAGCTCGGATGGCATGTCGCCGCTGGGGCCAGCCCGGACACTGAATTCTCCATGTCATTCGCTGTGGCCTTGGTCGTATACTGTTTACATACTCATGTTAGTAGTAGGATGCATTAAATCGTCCTTCGACTAAAGGTCTTGCCATCATCGAACATGGGGATGCAAGTGCATCGCTGGCGGTAGCCTAACTCACAGCTTCAGATTTTGATGAGCTCGGATGGCATGTCGCCGCTGGGGCCAGCCCGGACACTGAATTCTCCATGTCATTCGCAGTGGCCTTGGTCGTGTACTGTACACATACTCATGTATACCTAACATATAGTCGTAGGATGCAAATCGTCCTTCCACTAAAGGCCTTGCCATCATTATCGAACATGGGGATCAAGTGCATCGCTGGCGGTAGGCTGACTGTGAAAATCTCATTCACAGCTTCAGATTTTCATGATCTCGGATGGCATGTCGCCGCTGGGGCCAGCCCGGACACTGAATTCTCCATGTCATTCGCTGTGGCCTTGGTCGTGTGATGTACACATACATACTCATGTTTTCATAACATGTAGTAGTAGGATGCAAATCGTCGTTCCACTGAAGGCCTTGCCATTGTCGAACATGGGGATGCAAGTGCATGGCTGGCGGTAGGCTGACTGTGAAAATCTCTCTGAAGCCGCCTCAAGGCATGAAAAAATACTGCTGTCTCGGCTGACTGTGCGGCAAATTTGGTTGATCGCTCAAGCCTGTTGTTTCTCATTGTTGCTGCTTGCCAGGCTATGCCGAAACCGGGACTTCTCAGCCCGCAACTCAATCACAGTTTCGCTCATGTCGGAAGGATGTTAACTGCAGGAAGTTGCCTCGCCGATTCTTTTCTTGTTCAGACAACCGTGTCATGACAGCTGCCCAGGTTGATGGATCTCCCGGCGTCTTGGTCTCTCTCCTGGCGACGACTTCGGCTTCGCCTTCGATTCGGTTTAATTGAATTCTATTTGTGGAATCCACTAAGAATGATTCATACTTGTCGAGCAAACGTCTATGTGAACCTTTACTAGATATGTTCTACCAATTGGAAGGATAGTTTCCGAATATCCTGACTGCCAATCAAAATGAAACACCCTGCCTGCTCCCCCTGCTGTGTCCATGTCATTTCATGTCCAAAAGGCTGCGGTGGTAATTTAAAGATACACCCAGGTTTTGCAGTGGTGTTTTTGATTTCTTGATTCCTGCTAATACAATTTATTTTTGTTTCTCTGTTGGAGCCATAGAAAAGCTTCCTTTGAAAAAGTAGATGCATTTGATTGATTACTACAAACAAAGTTCTCCAGAATCACGTTGTCCCCCCCAGCCCCCCTGCTGCTTCACAATCCTCACATTACCCACAGCTGTTGCCGAAGACACAGAATCCCACGAACCCACTACGAACCCCCGGACCTTCTACGAAGTTCGCGGCAGCCGTTTGCTTAAAACGAAGTTCGCGTAAGGGCTGTCCTTCCCCCGCAGGCCGTTACCCCTCACCGTTTTGCCCTTATATATGAATCTCTCAAGTACTCTCAAGTTTATCTCGTCTCCAATATGTCGTGCAGAACACGTGTGCTCGTAGTGACAAGTGTGCGTAACGAGAACTGTTAGCCAACGACGGCAGAAGCGATGTTGTGGTGTTCGCAGCAGGGCCCCGAGTGCTCAGTTCGAGTTAGCAGCTTTTCGTTTCTCCCACCTCTCCCACCCGGAGATACAGAGTCCGGCCAGTTCGTTCGCGCCTCCTGTCAAGCCTTCTTCGCTTGTGCCTACACAATTCGAGAGCGCAGCGAGCGAAGCTCGAGACTTAGTTCGCCACCGTCCGGAAGGGAAGAGTGCACCAAAGCTGAGTGAAGCTTAGCTCGTCTTTCATGTTCTGTACGCCACACATCACATCACTCCACCTTGTTCAAATATTTATGTATGTATGTACTTATAGATCCGCATGCATGGGTGGGTGGGTGGATGGATGGATGGATGGATGGATGGATGGAATGGAACGGATGTATGCATGGATGGATAGATGGATGGACGCATGTATTTTCAGCTGTCGAGGGAGCCTTGAATTGCGATGCGAGGCGAAGGAAAGACGAGAAAGAGGCGGGCGGAACTGGAGCTGGGCCATGTTCAACTCTACATTTGTGAGGTGTCGCCGCCCCCAAAGCGGAAGGCCCCTGTTGCGCGCGGGGGTTCCATAGACCGTCATTGTTCCGATTCCTCAGTGACGGCAGGCAGAGCGCTCTCGTTCCCGCGACACGTCGCCCTCTGCCGCGCAAAGTGAAGCGCAAAGCGAGGCGCAGTGACTGGCACTGCCGATCCGATGCCCCCAGCGCTTTGCTTCGGCAGGCACCAGCCGGGCCGCCCAAGAAGCGCTCTGCCGCTTCCGGCGCCGCCAACGCCCTGTCGGTGCCGGGCCAAGCCGGAGCCGAGCCCACGGCTCGCAGCCACCCTGCTGCTGCCCTGCTCTTCAGGTTCCGGTCACGGAGACACGAGGCGCAAGATTGCAGAAGCTTGGGGGCATTCTACCTTTAACATGGCCTTCAAATATTCTTCTCTCTCTCTCTCTCATCCTCTCATCCCTTTACTTCCGCCTCAGCTCCGGCCGTGAGCCTGACCCGTGCGGCGCCGGAGCCTGAAAAGGGGTCGGAAGCAGAAAAAACGAAGTCAGTTCTTGGAAGCGCATGCCTGCCTTGGAAGGGTCCGACGCAACGACGACGAGAAGCGTTCTCCGGAGGCCCGGAGGGTTTGGAGCGGACTGTTCTTGCAGCCGGAGCTTGTGCAGGCGCGGCGTTGGCAGTCTCAGGAGGTGCCCTCCCCGCCTTTCGCAGGCAGACTGGAGACTCTGACGTCTCTTGGAGGCTCGAAATCGTCCACAGGCTCGGGACGGCCAGGAGCTGCTCCGAAGGCCCGCAGAGGAAAGCGTGGGCGACTTTTTGTACCATTATTTGTACTATGATGTCTATGCACCGCTTTTCGTTTGAGTGTGGGGAGCAATCCAGTATACCGCTTTGCGTCACTCAGGGTTCTTCGTGCCCAGCTTTGCCCTGGAAAGCGGGCGCAAAGCACGCGAGCAACCAAGGCCTGCATGGGGGGCTTCTAAGCGGGTTTGGGGCTCTTTCCAGCTTTCAGACAGCTGATGCACCACAGTGTGATTAAAAGTTTGTCGGTCGGGCATGTTAGAGCCATGGTGTACTCAATTTCGAGTGATCCGACTCGATGCCTCATGCACCATGCTGTGCCGGGACTGTACCAGTCTGGTTGAGCTGTTAGCCGTAAACGCCGTAACAGGAGGGGGAGCCCCGGGCGACCTTGGTCCCTCCATCGCGAAAGGCGCTCTTCTTGCATGACAGAGCCTGCCTTTGAATCTGCCGGACTGCCGGAGCAGAGCAGGATGCGTCTTCCGACGAAGCGAGCGGGAGCCTGAACAGACTGAGTTTTGGGGAGTCGGTTGGGACATGTCAGTCTCAGGCCCTCCGCGCGCGACATTGAGGCCAGGCCCCCCCCCCACCCCCCCCACCCCCCGGCAGGGAGAACACGACCAGGACAGGTCTCCGTTCAGATGCGAGTCTGTTTTTCAGGCCCCCTCAGGACCGTGCGAAGAAGGCAGCGGCCAAGGTCGGTGACGTCAGCACTCGGGTTGCCTTCAGCGAGGCTTTGGAAGCTCGCAAGCCGCGGCGGGTCTGAGATGAGGCAGCCAGGACAGCCCTCTTCCCGGCGTTATAAGCCGCCTGTTGGCTGACCCAGTTTCGCTGCCTAAGGCAGGCCGCAAGCCTCCTCGGAAAAGCTGCCACAAAGCTTCGCGAATTTCCTACTTCAGGGCCAGAGAGTCTCTTTGAGGCCTTCAGATGGGGAGGCTTGCCTAGTTATTTCGTGCTAGCTAGCCGAGTTGAAGTAGCCCTCTAACCACTCACCTTCCTTGCACTGTGCGGCTGTACGGCGGCACAGCCGAAACGTATGTGTGAGACGTCTTTGCATGCATGCCGCCTGAATCGAAGCCGTCTGCATCATTGACCCCGTCAGCTCTCACTTGCAAGTCGAAGAAGCTCCCGCCGTTCCGAAGTGCGTCGCCGTCGAAAAAGTGCCACATGCAGGTCCGGCCTTGAACGCAAGAAGTTTGAGGCTTTGAGGCAGCCTAGGACAAAGTCAAGTTGCATGGATCAATGCCAAGGGTAAGGTCAGGGCTCTTGTCACGCCTTGCGCGGTGAGGCATGGATCGAAGTGCCAAGCATGTGGAGACTGTCCCAGCGTCCCAACGCTAGGAAAGCAAAAGGTTCAGAGTCGTTGAATTGAACGACCATTCCGCCACCAGATAGATGCACAGATTAATATGGCAGGAACAGGGCACGGCCAAGCCATGTGAAGGTCTCGGCGATGGAGAAGAAGCCGGTGCACAACCCAGGGCATTTCCTGCTTTGCTTTCGGGCGTGTAGAAGGACTAGTGACTAGTAGTAGAAGTAGTAGTAGTAGTAGTAGTAGTAGTAGTAGTAGTAGTAGTAGTAGTAGTAGTAGTAGTTGTTGTTGTTGTTGTTGTTGGTGGTGGTGGTGGTGGTGGTGGTGGTGGTGGCTGGGCGTAAAGACATTTACAATCGGGAATACCGCATGCAGTTTCAATGGACCACAGAATGCTCAGCTTCGTGGCAGGCAGGAGCTCACCCATGAGGACACTTCCGGTGTGCATCCTCCAACCCCCACCTTCACTCCCGCCTCCGCCCAAAACCCCCCCCCCCCCCCCCCCGTGCTCCTGGTGTTTTGACGGATGCCTCATCCCCCCCGCTGCGTCATGCAGTCAACGTTGAAGCCCTGAGTGGGGCTCAGAACTTTCAATGAGGCACACAACCCACGGTCTTTGATATCCATACATTGCCTGCCTCTTCATCGCAGGCAGTTTCGGCATCGATAAACCGGCATTGCAATTCGACTGTCGAAGCCGAGGTGGATAGGCATAGTCGTGAGTTGCAAGCCATGTTGGACGATCTGTCGGAGGGCGATCGTCCCAAGATCGACACGTGCTTGGTCGAGTGGGGGCCTTTCTGTCAAGGTTGCGGCAAGCATGGCCAGTAACCATGCCATTCGATTGACAGCTGCATGTCATGTGATCGCTGAAAACTTGAAGCGAGGAGATCCATGCCGTCTTGCGAGTCATGCTGGTGTTCACTTGTGCACATTCTGCAATTGGACATGACACCGTTATTGTGCGAGAGTTGTTGCATTGGACCATGAGCAGATTTGCAGTGACGTATGTCCACAGACGCATCAATCGTACTAATGCTTTACGACGTTTGCTGCATGAACTTATGGTAAGTGCAGCTGTGCCTGAATCTTATCCCCGAGTGCTCAATTCCCGCAAAATCGGTGGTATATATCTATCAAGTTCTGTCTCTGGCGAGATCCTTGGTATGTTGGGTCCATTTATGAGCGCGACCTCAATCGTGCTTCCAAATTGCGTCAGCGCTGTCGTCAACGACATGCTTGCTTTGAACCTGGGGCAGACAAGAGGTTCAGTTCATTGAACTACCTTCGGCAGCCATTGGCGCGTAGATTCCAGAATAAAGAATGCTGACATGAAACCTGCCGCTTGATTCGCCTTGAGTTTTATCGGGAAAGGCAGTGTAGCCGTGTAGCCAGGGGAGGCGGGAATTATGAATGGTTCGTAGTTTAGTGACGCAGAGTGAAGGAGTCAAGGATGCACGCTCATGATGCTACGATGCACTCGGGGCATAGTTGCTTGCTTCAGGATCCCGTGAACTGCAGAAGCTGCGTGACGAAAATTGCAGTGTCACTCATGGGGTTTGTCATGGCTGTGTTGCACGCTGCCAAGTGAAAGCATTGTTTCATGTTCAGGTGCAACTATGTGCTAGCTTCCGAGCTTGACGCCATCGTTGCAAACCACCCAATAACTTCACATGTTCAATGTTCACCCCAGCAGACACATTGGGGAGCCCATCTGTAGATGCAATTGTGCGGATGTAGATTTGCGACTCAACAGAATCCAGTGCGAGAAGTCATCATACCCATAGCGTCAAGGCGTGAACATTTCAATCACATTCAATATGGCACTCAACTTCCAAACTCCAAACTTAAGAGTCAGTACTTCGCACGGAATTCCAAACGAACCTGTGCTTCACCTTTCTGGTGCAAAGGCAGAAGTTGATTTCTTTTGAAAAGTTTGTTGTATCGATTGAAAACAGTTTTGCACCTTATTCTAGAGAGAAAACACATTTTGCTTCTGACTCCTGACATATCAAGTTGGCGGTGTCGTTTCGTTGTACATTGCAACTTTTTGCTGCAGGTTTCTTCTCATTTCGGTCATAGGGAAACTCTACCCTTTCAGTTATTCTCTCGAAGTTGTCTAGCATTCAACAGATGGGTTCACCTGGCATGTTTTGCTGCCACTATTGGAAATTACCAGGAGCTCGCCATGCATTGGTGGTATCACACGCATTCGTTCTTTTCATGTGTCAGTGTACCTGTCTTTCAGGTTGATGGTGGCCGTTCACGCTTATTGTACATGGAATCTCATGTACAATTTTCGCTACAACCACGTCTGAACTCACCATGGGTTCGCACGTTATTGCGTAAAGTGGGCGTACATTTGGATTGCTTTCATCTGAACCACAACTCGGATGTTGGCCAACATCACCGGCTTCTTGAACGCTACGATCGGTACCGTCATTGTCGCCATCGCCATCACCACTCCCATCAGCACTTCGGCGACCTACCTTGATGATGCCCTCTCCAGGTGGACCTCCAGAGCAAAGCCATCTCGCTGACAGAGGTGCCGCTCCTCGGACGGTGGAAGAAATACATGCTCGCTCAACAAGCTCTCCTCTCCTTTCCTTTGTGTAAACCTCCGAGGCGCAGGTGGAAGAATTCCAAGAAGCTTTCGGGCTTTTCGACAAGGCAAGCATCTCTGGCTCTGGGAGCTCCGGGGAGGATGCAGGAAATCAGAAGTAATGACAAATCACAGGACCTAGTATGAGCGTGCCTTCTTGATGCTAGTTAAGTTAAGGTGGTGGTGGCGAGGAGCAAATCAGAGGGAGGATTGCAGGAGTGCGTTGGTGCGGCGAGGGGCGGGTTGGGCGGGTTGCGACAAAGAACACAAAGACCCCGCTACACTGATGTGGGGAAGAGATAAGGCACAGAACAGATGAATTGGAATTTTCATCTCTCCCGGCCGAGGATGGCGATGGCCGCATCTCCAGTGACGAGCTGGGGGTCGTGCTGAAAGCCCTCGGCCGCAAGCCGCCGGGCGCCAAGCGGATACTTTAAAGAGAAGAAGCGCACACGGCGCCGCACCATGGCGGCCACCCACGTGGGGCGTGGCATGCGTGGGGGCTTTTGCTCTCTTTCGAGTAGTAGCTTTGGGGAGCGGACCGGCCAAGCTGCACAGTACTGGGCTGCCCCCCCCCGCCAGTGTCACAGTGAAGCAGTGCGGAGCGCCGCAGCACCGCACAGGACCTCTGAGGAGTTGAAGGCCATGGTGGGGGAGGCCGACGAGGCTCTGGGAATCTCTGGGAATCTCTTCGCTTCTGACGGGTTTTGGTTGGGTTTATAGTGGCTGCCATTAGACACTAAGGGGGTGTTCCAACGGAGCTAGAAGTTGCCGAAGCGCAGTCGCCAGTCGCGCCTCGATTGTTTTTCGCAGATCGTGTTTTTCTGAGGCTCTCTTTAACTCTTGGCCTTTGGGGACTCTTAGCGTCAGCTTCTCCGCGACACGGGCTAGGACGGCAGCGGAACCATCGAGTTCCCGGAGCTCGCTCCCAAGCCATGATGCCCCCCCTACTGTATGCTGCGTCTTCAGCCTTGCTTCTGAAGGTTCCTGAAGCTTATGGCGGCCAAGCTCCACGATTTGGACTCGGCTGAGGCGCAAGGGCGGCCGTGGGACTGGGGGCTTCTTCGGGCCGCGTTCCCGTGTTTTTGCAGGAGATGCACGAGGCTTTCATGGTCTTCGACCGCGACAAAAGTGGGGGGCTTTCCAAAGCGGCATACGCACCGTACATCCGTACATCACAGTCGAGATCTTGAGTATGATACCAAGCGGTCGCAGGTGGCAAGGTGACCCCTAGCGAGCTGAAGCACGTGATGAACAGCCTCGGCGAGAAGGCACAGATGGGGGCAGATCCCACAATCGCTTGAAGATTCCTCGGTGCGCAACCGTTGATTGCCTCGCATTGTGTTTTCGTAAATGGTTAGGGAAGCAGGCCGAAATGCAGACAGAGGGCTTTCTGTTCCCACCCAGACGAGCTCCCAGCTTGGGAGGTCACAAACGAGGAGATCGAAGAGATGGTGAAAGAGGCTGGGGAAGGGCTGCGCGCGGCAGATCGTGCCTTAAGCGTCCAGATGAGGCTGACATGGACGGCGATGGGGAACTCAGCTTCGAGGACTTCATGCAGCCTTGGCACTCAGAAAACACAAGGGAAGCGTAGCACCGAGAAGCTATGAAGTTCTTAATTATGGTTTCAGGTTCATTCAGATGAGGGGCCTGGGCGGCCGTTGATCTGCAAATCATGCAGATCCAATGCTTGTGCAGACTCCTAAAGGAAATGTGCATGCAGAAAGGTCTCCCAGCTTGTGCTAAGACGGCCATCTTGACCGTTTCACGTTGACCGGATCATCTGAATCCGATCTCGTCGAAAGCTTCTTTGGCACTTGCAGAGTGGAGTCACGCAGGACACTCGGAACAGGCAAGAAGTGTACCATTGTCACCACCGCCAGTGAAGAAAGGCATGTTTTGGCAATCCCGGAGTTCCGTCGGGCGATGGCACGGCGGCCACGGCAGCAATGGCGATGGCCACAGCGAAGTAGCTCTCTGGAAGGAGCGCTCAGAGTCTGCTGCGCCTGTTCCATTCTGATCCGCAAAACCGCCCGAAGTGATCGGAACGCAGGCGCGGAACGATGGCGGGGGCCTCATCGAAGTGATGTCCGGTGAGTAGCAGACCGCTCTGATGATGTTTGCCTATGCTGATGATCTATCTTGATGATGGCAAAACAAGACATTTAAAGACGACGCGATGGAACGGCCAAGAGGCCAGCTGCAGTGCGGCAAAAGCCGAGAGCAACTGAGAAGAGGCAGACGAGCAGATCAGCAAAGACCACAGCAACGATGGTGATGTACGTGAGCGCGCTTCGAGTGGCAACAGCAACAGCATCCTCCGAAAGGGGCAAGTCTCAGCAGTCCCAGCACTCTGGCACGCAGCGACGCAGCTGAGGTGAAGGCCGAAGGACCGCCGCTCAGAGCCCCGCAAAGGAGCGGGAAGAAGCCGGAGGCCCGAAGAACTCAGAGAACTCAGGGCTCAGCAGTGATGGGAGTCTCCTCTACGCTGAACCGAGGGATCGGCAATGGCAATATGGGATCTGGCTGGGGGGCACAGCCTGGGCCTGAAAGTTAGAGGGAGCTTGGCCAGTCTGAAGTCTGCTGAGCGACACCTCGTCTTGAGGCGTTCAGCGTCTTGTTTGCCTGTGCAGTGGCCCCGGCGGAGGCAAACGTAGAAGCCAGTCGGTGTATCTCCTGCGACCCAGGCAGCAGTTCTGGTCAGTCCAGAGCAAGGTCATGCACCGAGTGCAGAGGAACCACGCCTCTGACTCTAACGCCTTGCCCGTTCCTCCCGTTCCTCCTTCCGCCCCCCAGACTCTCAGGTCTGCTGGAGACGCTGGCCAGGCACCCAGAAACCGGACTTTCCGGCAAAGCGGCCGGGCTCGTCGCTTCTGAGGTGAATGACCAAAGCGTCATCGACCACGTGAACCTCAACGCAAGTGCCCAAAGAGAGAGCGGAAACCGCAAGACAAGTAAGCACGGGACTCGCACCAGCAAGAAGTCTAAGTGGGCTACTAAATGATTTGCCTGAACGTGGCCGAAATTGTGTCTTCGGACCCCGCCTCGTTTGGAAGAGAAAAGTATTGCTTGAAGGCTCAACCGCACTGTCAACGTATGAAAAAGGATGAAGCATGGGAAAAGAGCACTAGCGCAGACAAATATGGGAGTTTTCTGCAGCACCGAATTTATGAAGGGTCTAGACTAGACAGGAACATGTGAGGAGTGTTGGAATATGCACCGAGTTATGAAGGCAGTAACATGGCATCCACGGCACGGAGTTCATGTCTGCTACTGGGATATTCGGTTGAAACATTGAGGCATGCTGTTTCGGTTGCATCAGTGTCGATTGCATCAGTGTCAGGACCGTAGGTGACTTGCAGCGTGAGGTTTCGCAGATCTGTTTCACGATTGCATGCTTGAACACGTTCACGCTACCGCAGGGATCGGGCTCTTGTGCAGAAAAGGAGCCGTGGCTTACGCATCTTTGTGCCGGGCATTTGCCCGCAAGCTTAGTCGAGGACTGCGCCTCGTTCATGGCAGCGGAGCGGCTGTCGTGCGGCTGCTCTTGAAGCTTGAGATCCTGGGCCTCCCTCCTTCAGGCGAATGTCTGCTCAGGCGAGCGCTGGCGATCGTTCCTGCCGGTGGTATGTGCTTACCCTCAAGGATTCAGAGAAGGCTGGTGCGGCGGCCCGTGTGTGGGCAAAGCTGTCTGGGCCCGCCAAGAGCGTGGTCCGTCACTTGGATCCGGCCCAGTACTACAGGGCGGATGGCCTTGAGAAGCTGCTGACCCTTTTGAGGGGCAGCCCACTCCAGACCTTGCCGGTTCCCGACTGCTTTGCCAAACTTGAGCGGTGGAACAAACTTCGCCGCAAGGACCACGAGACGATCCCAGAGTTCCTTGTGACGGAGGACGAGTGCTTTACCGAACTGCAGCAGTCGCTCAAGAGATCCAGGGACATGAGAAAACCGCCTCCTCCGAGGTCTGTCCGAGAGACCTTCTTGAGGACGCCAGCCGGCGAGGAACCGCCGGGAGACGAGAACGAGGACGACGCGAAGCAGAGCCCCATGGAGGATTTCGAGGACCTTCCGGATTTTCGCAAGGCCTCTCCGAGTTCATCACCGCGGAAGTCTCCTAAGGTCAGCCAGCCGGATGTGACGGTGCTGCCCGAGGAGCCCGCCGACTTCTTCAACGATGAGCTTCGCGGCTACCGTCTCCTCAAGGCGACCAACCTCACCGTGCAGGAGCGGCAGCAGGTGCTCACCCTGGCGGGCAACTTGGTGAACTTTCAGGTTGTCCGGCAGGCTTTGAGGGCGTTCTTTGATGACAGCAGCGGCTCTCACCGGCACCGCCACCGAGATCGACATGCCTGGTGGGCCACCGAGACAGAGGACCCGGACGGCGAGCACTTCGATTGGGAAACGGGTCCTCCTGAGGACTTCGCTGACGCCTACTGGGGCGACTTTGGCTGGTCCCAGCAAGGCTGGGAGCCGCGAGGGCCTCTACTACGACGGTGCCGAGGACGAGGGCATCTACTATGACGCCGCCGGGAACGAGATCTACCCGGAGGACATGTACCCAGAGGAGGAGGCTGAGCCGAGCCAGGAAGAAGCAGAGTCACTTAAGCAACAGGCCGACGCGACGGCCCTAGCAGCGGAAGCCAATCGCACTTTGACAGAGGCTCGCGCGGCTGTGGCAAAAGTCCGGGCAGCTCGGGGATATTATCCCCTTGGGGGAAAATCGTCCTCGAAGGGCGGCCGCGGGAGTTCGCCAACGAGATGTTTGATTTGCGGCCAGCTCGGACACTGGTTCAGGGACTGTCCTCGCCGCTTCCAGGGACAGACGGCAATGTACCAGAAGGGCTTCCCAAAAGGCCCGCGGCCCAAAGGCAAGGGCAAGGGGAAGTTCAGGCCGCCTGGAAAGGGAAAGGCCAAACAGGGTTTTCCCGTGAACTTCTATGGCACCTACATGATGGAAGTGGTCCGTGAGGAAGAGCAGCCCGACTTCTACCAGAATGACCAGCCGGGCGAGCGGAACGCAAATGTCGTGGTTCCGGTGGTGGACCCCTCCGACCTGACGATGGGCAATGGTCCTGCCGTTTGGGGTCGCTTGGAAGGCAACAGCCACGGCCGGGCACTTGGCATTTTCGAGAACGAGCAGCTGGACGTGTGGAACAACAACGTGCCGCTGAACATGTTCAATGCCGCCCCGGCCGACCAGGCGACAGCGATCACGGAGAACGCCAACTTCCTGGACACCGCCGGCACCGATGGCGAGCACATGGCGATGATGCTGCAGACCGTGGGTGTGATGCACACTGGGCCGGTGCTGTGGTCTGGCCAACCTGGACCACCGAACTTTGTCCTGGACACCGGCGCCACTGAGAACGCGGCTGGAGTTCGGACTATCCAGTCCCTTTTGCAGACGCGAGGGGCAAGGCTGTGCGGCATGTCTCTTCATGACAGGCCGACCTTTCGCTTTGGAGACGGCTTGGCCCTTCGAGCTGCGAGCCGTGTGGATCTCGACGGCACGGCCCTCGGGGAGATCTCCTTCTATGTGCTGGACGGGGACGACAGGTCGACTACCCGACACTCCGAGGACACGCCGTTGCTGGTTGGGTCCAGGTTTCTACATGAGCACCGAGCCTGCATTTCATATGAGCACCTGAACCTGTTCCTTCAGCAGATCATGAGCGCCCCTTTGCAAAGGACCCGGACGGGACACCTGGTGTTGGACCCAAGGGCCGACCCCACCAACATGACGAACCTTAAAGAGAAGGCCGAGGCACAGTACGGTGTTCAGCTCCCGGGTGATGCCGCTCGCCTTTTGGAGCTTTTCTCCTCACCGGGGGCCGTGGAAGCCCTCGCAATGGCACAGGGCACCGACCACGAGATCGTTGCCGAGGCCGGCCCAGGAAAACATTGTGAGTCCCGTTGTGCGATCGGTCTGCAAGTGAGTGCTCTTTGTGTTCCGTTGCAGCGTTGTGCTTGTGACCCTAGCGCAAAACCCTATGACCTACCTCAACCTCCTTGTGACCTTTGTGAACAGCAACCTGCACAGCGGCAGCATGTACATGAGTGTTTTGCAAATCGAGGTGAGTTACATGATCATGTGAGTGCAGAACAGAGTGCTATGATGTTTGCGGTTGGGCCTCATGATCAAGTTGTCTCGTCGTTGCCCCATCGGATCAGATCGCTTCGGCTTCGCCTTGCCGACCACCGTCTCCGCTCCCTCTCTTCTGTGCCACATGGAGAAGCAGCCGGCCCCTCTGGAGGATCCACGTCTGACGGGCTGGCCATGCAAGGGGTCGCACAAAGAGGGGCCCGAGAAGGGCAACCAGTGGGGCCGTTGGAAGGATTGCACCAAGTGCGGCGTTCGAGTGAGTTACCGGGCGACCCGAGGCCATGGAGAGCGGAGGACGGCTGGCCCAACGATCGAGGTGACTCGCCAGGCGATGAGCGAGCTGGAGGAGATGTACCTCAAGGGCGAGATCGACGTGGTGAAGGGCAAGATCATGGGGGTGCAAAGCCGCTCGTTTCTGGCCGATCGCGTAATTCCCCTGAAGAAAAGACCATGGGCCCCGATCCGAAGGAACCGCCAACATGCGAGAGTCGCCGAGCCTTGTCTTCCAAGGCGGCACCGACCAAGAAGCCGGCACCTTCAATGGCGACTCCTCCTTACAGTGCTTCGGCGGCACCCTCGGCAAGGATCCCGGGCCCAGCGGATGCGCCGATCAAGAAGATCAACAAGGAGTTGCGCGACAAGTTGGACAACAAGGAGGGCGAATTGGCGGAGGCGACCCAGCAGATCATGTACCTCGAGAGCAAGTTGATGGAGCTTCGCGGCAGGGTCAACGAGGAGATGGAGCACGCGAGGTCCATGTCGGACGGCTGGGGCAACATGAGCGTGACAGCCTCAGCCAGGGCCCCGCCGTCGGAGGAGGATCCGGATCGAGAGCAAGACCTTTGAAGGCGCATGGCAGAAGCCAGTCGGGGACCCTTTTTGCGAAATGTTCGAGTTGTGGCGGGCCTCCTGGGCCTGACTTGGATGGGCTCCCGAAGCGCGAGGGTATCACCTTGGCATGCCGTAAGCGCATGCATCATGAGTCCAAGGGGCTCATGGCTAGTGCTCTTTGTATAGCTACGTCGTTGCTGGCGTTGACTTCGAATTCATTGGACGTGTTTGAGATTGGTGGCGGCACTTTGTCGCCGGCCCTTCGTGACGAAGGCTTGCTGTGTGAGGCCGTGACGAGTCAGGACGGTTACCACTTTGGGAACGCGTCAAGCATCGGCACCATCCACGACCAGGTTGTTGCCAGGGATCCAGAAATGCTGTGGGTTAACCTTCCGGACCTTCGGCTTCTTCGGATGGATTGGTCTGGATCCCCGGGCCAGTGGAGGAACTATGAGCGGGCCCGGCGACGCGATCTTCAGGCAGCCGAGCGGATGGCGGATACCGTGGTGCACCGCATTGAGAATAAGAAGCTGTTTGGCTGGATATGGCGAGCCGAGGCTCAGTGGGGATGGCGCAGCAAGGCGATTGAGAAAATTAAGGAGGCGGCCCGCGAGAGTGGAGATGACCTTTTCGAGTGCATCGTGGGCCAATGCGTGTACGAGCACGGGCCGGCAACAAGCCCTGTGACCTGGAAGATCCTCACCAATGCCAAGCAGTTGCGCTACAAGCTTGGTCGCCGGAGATGCCCGGGACACAAAGTTCATGGTGACTGGCCGGTCAAGGCCCCTGGACTACCCGAAGGCATGGCCAGGGACATCGTGAATGCCATGTCGTGGGACATCCGTGACCGATGCGGCTCTCTTCGTGATGAAGTTGAGGTGTTCATAAACGACGGCAACGCAGCGATCAAGAACTACGGCAACACAGCGATCAAGAACTACGGCAACACAGCGATCAAGAACGACGGCAACACAGCGATCAAT